TCCCCTATCTTAGGCGACTTGTGCCCAGCAGCATTCATCCTGGCAAAGTGACTAGTGATGGATGCCAGCTGCAGCTATCAAATATGAGTCTCTCCAGGAACACTGATCTTAAGTGGTATGCCACCTTTTGATACTAAGGAGAACTCTGTGTATGTTCAAAAAATATGATGCTCAGACTTTCCCAGGAAGGAGGTAGTTTACAAATAGAATGGTCTGCTTCCTACACTTGAGCTAAGGTCGTAAACTTTAATTTAAAAAAGGACACACACACACACACACACACACACACACGCACAGAAGCTTCCCCAGATAGGCTGATCTCAAAGAGAAAGCAGATCCTCAACAACCTAAGGCCCCACACCTCTCAGAGGCTTGGGGATAGGCTTATAGACAAAGGAGTGACTAAGACTAGTTCCTTGGAAGTTGCTTTAGTTTTATTGGTACCCTGGGTTCCCAGGCACCTGTGCTGAGACAGTTACTCATCAAAGATATCATCTATGAAAACAAGCAATGGCTTTTCTCCTTTAATTCAAAAAGATAAAATATTTTCTGTGCTTTCAAAATTTAAAATATCTAGTTAAATCAAGCCATCAACATTCATTTAACGTACAAAATGTTAATTAACCTAATAAAACTATTCCAAAGTGCTGCTGGGAGATCTAATTTCAAGCAGGCATGCAAACTAATGACTCACTATGGGGAAAAAAGTCCAGTATGCCTGTTCCCATCACTACTGAACACTACCATTGTACATCTCAGGGCCAGAGCTGGCAGCTGATGACCACGACTGAACCAGCAACAAGGCTCCGACACCACAGAGGCAGCTCCCGAACACTGTCCCTCCGCTGCTAATGAACTAGCATGGACGTCTATACTAGAGCTTTCCTACATTGTATAAAAAAATGTAATGTGAATATTATACATCTGGAAGATGTTGGTCTGTATCAGGGTCATTTTGAGCCCTCAAGTCCTTACTCCCTCCTTCCATCTAGTTCATGTGATTAAATTTTAAGAACTATTTCTAGAGTTAAGACTAGTTTAACGGTCCAGGTGGTGGTGGTAGTAGTGACAGCATACAATCTAGTTGTGGACTTTAAAGCCAAGTTTTTCAAGATTCCACTGTGGTGTCGGTATCAATTTGGTTTAGGGGATAAACAAATCTGCTGCACCTGGCAATGATTACTGTATGGATTATTTTTTAAATTTGGTAATGTAGAGATAAAGGTGTATACTTTTCACTAATATAAATAATCTAATCCCTATAGATGAGCATTTCCAAATGAAAATGCTGTTCCTCCCTAATCATAAAATTTTTTCAAATAAATAAGCATATCTTTATCTCACTACAGATTTAGAGGCTTCACCTGGTTTTTCATCTTCCCAATTACATCTTTAAAATGATTACAACCTTAAATTTAAAAGACCAATATACAGTAGAAAATGGGATCAAATGAACAGAAAAGACAAAGGGTCCTTCAAGCCAGGTATCTTCTACCTGGGAAAAGCCCTGTATGCTGGTTGAAGTTACTCAATTGGATTTTTTACTCAGAATGCCTCAGAATTCCAAAATCCAGGTGCATCCTCCGAAAAGCCATCCCCTACCATGCTGTATTCCACGGGGGTATATATGATCATACTACCCGCAGGACACAACAACATTTCTATGCTAGGTATGGTGTCCCGAATTCTCACTGGTTGTTCCAAATGCTGTCTTAAATCCCAGGTTTAAAAATTGTCCTATGCTGAAATAGACTAGCTCCCAGCTCTGTTGACAGGTTCAGACACAATCACACTGAGAGACCCCCTGAATAAACGTAAAGATGCCTTTTCGTGGAGTTGCTTACATATGTTACATTTCACAGCAAAACAGAATCTTTCCAATAGTATTACTCCAATCTTATTCTGCATGAACAAGAATGGTTCTTTTTCCTCCACTGGTTTTGTACTGCTCACTTTTAGTTATTCTACAGAGCACACTTAGTCCTAAAGATACTGCCAATTTCATTTAACTAATAGTTTTCTAAGTTATATACTCAGAGTGTAATTCTTTCCTGGCCAAAGGGTCCCAGTAAGGCAGAAGGAGTAACTTTGTTCTTAATTGCTCTTGCAAAAAAGCATAGTGAGCTGCTAAACCCCATCAAAAACTTAACACAAAGCTCAAAATATTTTTATAATAGAAAAGAAAAAGAGGGAGATGGAGTTTGAACTCCAATTAAGGCAATTTTACACACAGTCCAACTTGAGTCCTATTCAAAGGAATCTTAAAAGGGCATTTCGCCAGAGAACGGCAAAAGTCACAATAGTCTATTACCAGCACAGGGGACTATCAATTGCTCACTTCAAATGTAATCATGTTGACTGTTTCTCTATTTCTTTATTCCTCGGTTCTCTCAACTCCACAAGTGCATAGGTTATGTTTTCTGCAGATCTGGGGAAAACGGGCCAGGGGTGGAAGGTCCATCCAGGCCAGACACAGTGAATGGCCCATGACTGTTCAGTACAGTAGGAAACTGAGAAAGAAAATAAAACATATTATCATCTTATTACACAACCTCAACTTTCACTTTCTGTCCCCACTGTATTCCCTGAGGCAGAACATGACAGCTTCCTGCAGCGGCTCACGGGACAAAGGCAGTGACTGTTTAGCATGGAGAATATGGCATCACAACAAAAACTTTCAAGAAAAAAATTGTTTGTTCCACATGTTAGATATCAACATTCTCCAGCCAACCTTGATGGAATGGTAAGAACCTACACCTTCCTCATCTCCTCAGGTACACAGGCCTACATGTAACTTCAAAGGTCTTAGAAAGTTCAGTAAATGACAACATGCACTACAGAGTATAATTCAATTATAAACCAAATCACAGACTGTCAAAAAAAGGTTAAAAAAAAAAATAGAGAGACCCATCTGTTAACTCTATAACTAGTGCAAATAGTCATAGGACATAGTGATCCTAGAGCAGGTTCCCCATCATGTACTCTGAGACCAACTCTTTAGAGGAGATTCCAGACGGCATTATATGAACACTACGACTTATGACTTTACTTAGGAATCAGGTCACTCCAGCACTCAATTATCTGTGAGGCAAAGAAAAATGTAAAAATGAAATATGGAAAACCCTCAACACTTTATTAGAACTTTTTGCAAAAAAAGAAATGCAGAAGTAGAAAGATTTTCAATTCTTTTTCCTTAGCATTTCGCTCCCAAAAGAGCAAATGAAAAGTTAAATATAAAAGATAAGAACATCTACGATGAAGTCACCCCTAAATAAGCAAATGAATCAATGGCAAGGAAGTCTACAAGTTATAATGCCTCCATGACTGGGGAAAAATAATGGTTAAAAGCTGTAAGACATTTCCTAAACTCTTGGTTAAGATGTAATCTTCATTTTCTAAAATACGTATTTAAATATTGATAAGTATCAGTTCTGAGTAAGGGAGAAATAGGAGTATTTGACATACTGTCCTCAAGCGTTTTCTCTATTTTGTTTAAATCTTCTGATAAAAGGGGAAACAAAGTATGGAGATTTCCCCCAAAATGTATGTATATACACACACACACACATATATGTACATAGGTATTTGTTTGAATATATATAGACATACATTGTTTTTTCCCCAAAGAAAAGGATTTCTAGAGTTTAGAATGACAAAAAATTGGGCAGGCTCAAAATCTACCACAGTACTGAACAATTCTTGGTCTCAAATGTATGTAATAGTAAACAATGAAAAAGAGACTGCTGTGAATATTGATCTGAGCTGTTGGCTGACTAGAAAGTTAACACTTAGAATTCAAAAATAAATCTAAAGAAAGTCCTTACTCCCTCCTTCCATCTAGTTCATGTGATTAAATTTTAAGAACTATTTCTAGAGTTAAGACTAGTTTAACGGTCCAGGTGGTGGTGGTAGTAGTGACAGCATACAATCTAGTTGTGGACTTTAAAGCCAAGTTTTTCAAGATTCCACTGTGGTGTCGGTATCAATTTGGTTTAGGGGATAAACAAATCTGCTGCACCTGGCAATGATTACTGTATGGATTATTTTTTAAATTTGGTAATGTAGAGATAAAGGTGTATACTTTTCACTAATATAAATAATCTAATCCCTATAGATGAGCATTTCCAAATGAAAATGCTGTTCCTCCCTAATCATAAAATTTTTTCAAATAAATAAGCATATCTTTATCTCACTACAGATTTAGAGGCTTCACCTGGTTTTTCATCTTCCCAATTACATCTTTAAAATGATTACAACCTTAAATTTAAAAGACCAATATACAGTAGAAAATGGGATCAAATGAACAGAAAAGACAAAGGGTCCTTCAAGCCAGGTATCTTCTACCTGGGAAAAGCCCTGTATGCTGGTTGAAGTTACTCAATTGGATTTTTTACTCAGAATGCCTCAGAATTCCAAAATCCAGGTGCATCCTCCGAAAAGCCATCCCCTACCATGCTGTATTCCACGGGGGTATATATGATCATACTACCCGCAGGACACAACAACATTTCTATGCTAGGTATGGTGTCCCGAATTCTCACTGGTTGTTCCAAATGCTGTCTTAAATCCCAGGTTTAAAAATTGTCCTATGCTGAAATAGACTAGCTCCCAGCTCTGTTGACAGGTTCAGACACAATCACACTGAGAGACCCCCTGAATAAACGTAAAGATGCCTTTTCGTGGAGTTGCTTACATATGTTACATTTCACAGCAAAACAGAATCTTTCCAATAGTATTACTCCAATCTTATTCTGCATGAACAAGAATGGTTCTTTTTCCTCCACTGGTTTTGCACTGCTCACTTTTAGTTATTCTACAGAGCACACTTAGTCCTAAAGATACTGCCAATTTCATTTAACTAATAGTTTTCTAAGTTATATACTCAGAGTGTAATTCTTTCCTGGCCAAAGGGTCCCAGTAAGGCAGAAGGAGTAACTTTGTTCTTAATTGCTCTTGCAAAAAAGCATAGTGAGCTGCTAAACCCCATCAAAAACTTAACACAAAGCTCAAAATATTTTTATAATAGAAAAGAAAAAGAGGGAGATGGAGTTTGAACTCCAATTAAGGCAATTTTACACACAGTCCAACTTGAGTCCTATTCAAAGGAATCTTAAAAGGGCATTTCGCCAGAGAACGGCAAAAGTCACAATAGTCTATTACCAGCACAGGGGACTATCAATTGCTCACTTCAAATGTAATCATGTTGACTGTTTCTCTATTTCTTTATTCCTCGGTTCTCTCAACTCCACAAGTGCATAGGTTATGTTTTCTGCAGATCTGGGGAAAACGGGCCAGGGGTGGAAGGTCCATCCAGGCCAGACACAGTGAATGGCCCATGACTGTTCAGTACAGTAGGAAACTGAGAAAGAAAATAAAACATATTATCATCTTATTACACAACCTCAACTTTCACTTTCTGTCCCCACTGTATTCCCTGAGGCAGAACATGACAGCTTCCTGCAGCGGCTCACGGGACAAAGGCAGTGACTGTTTAGCATGGAGAATATGGCATCACAACAAAAACTTTCAAGAAAAAAATTGTTTGTTCCACATGTTAGATATCAACATTCTCCAGCCAACCTTGATGGAATGGTAAGAACCTACACCTTCCTCATCTCCTCAGGTACACAGGCCTACATGTAACTTCAAAGGTCTTAGAAAGTTCAGTAAATGACAACATGCACTACAGAGTATAATTCAATTATAAACCAAATCACAGACTGTCAAAAAAAGGTTAAAAAAAAAATAGAGAGACCCATCTGTTAACTCTATAACTAGTGCAAATAGTCATAGGACATAGTGATCCTAGAGCAGGTTCCCCATCATGTACTCTGAGACCAACTCTTTAGAGGAGATTCCAGACGGCATTATATGAACACTACGACTTATGACTTTACTTAGGAATCAGGTCACTCCAGCACTCAATTATCTGTGAGGCAAAGAAAAATGTAAAAATGAAATATGGAAAACCCTCAACACTTTATTAGAACTTTTTGCAAAAAAAGAAATGCAGAAGTAGAAAGATTTTCAATTCTTTTTCCTTAGCATTTCGCTCCCAAAAGAGCAAATGAAAAGTTAAATATAAAAGATAAGAACATCTACGATGAAGTCACCCCTAAATAAGCAAATGAATCAATGGCAAGGAAGTCTACAAGTTATAATGCCTCCATGACTGGGGAAAAATAATGGTTAAAAGCTGTAAGACATTTCCTAAACTCTTGGTTAAGATGTAATCTTCATTTTCTAAAATACGTATTTAAATATTGATAAGTATCAGTTCTGAGTAAGGGAGAAATAGGAGTATTTGACATACTGTCCTCAAGCGTTTTCTCTATTTTGTTTAAATCTTCAGATAAAAGGGGAAACAAAGTATGGAGATTTCCCCCAAAATGTATGTATATACACACACACACATATATGTACATAGGTATTTGTTTGAATATATATAGACATACATGGTTTTTTCCCCAAAGAAAAGGATTTCTAGAGTTTAGAATGACAAAAAATTGGGCAGGCTCAAAATCTACCACAGTACTGAACAATTCTTGGTCTCAAAAGTATGTAATAGTAAACAATGAAAAAGAGACTGCTGTGAATATTGATCTGAGCTGTTGGCTGACTAGAAAGTTAACACTTAGAATTCAAAAATAAATCTAAAGAAAGTTGATTAAATGATAATTTTATACCAATTAAACGGAAGGAGGACACTACCTTTTTGCCTCTTCCTTCCCATCCCATCCCCACGTACCTGGAAAAGTGTGTTAGCACCTTGCAGCCTGGCCGGACTCAGGGGAGCCACGGGGCTGAGAGTGCTCCAGAAGTGGATACTGGAGAACAGGGGGCTCGGCGTCAGTAAGATGGGGGTCTGCGACACACAAAACACAAGTAGTCACCGAGCTACTTACCAGGATGAGATTTAATTCTTGGGCTAACACACAGACAGCCCTGACCCCAATATTGTCCTATTCTCCCCTCTAAACATCTCCAAGTCTGAAATTTTATCATAAGGAAAAACTCAAAGTATTTTTACAACCTAAGAAAGATAAAGGCCAAAATATTTTTGAACCCTTCTTTTGAAGGGTCTTTCCTGAATAGAAAAACCAACCTGGACTCAGGTCTGGAGTAATAATGGGTAACTGAGTGACAAACCTATTTTTTTCTTTTATTATGAAAAGGTCTGGGAGTAATCTATTTAAAGTTGTATGAGATAAGCAGGTTAAGAAATAGGTAATGTAACTGCACTAACTTGTTTCTCAACATCACACTCGTCATTTGTCTTAAGGGTCTCTCTCAGGATCCATTGTTTCCTAACTAGAGATCGTCACTTGTTTTTTTAAATACCAACTAGTTTTATAAGACCAAAGGGGAGCAGGGAGGAGAGAGTATTTATTTTCCTTAGGAGGAAGTGGAAAAACCAAAATACTTATTTACTTACTTAAATATTTATTTACTTTACTTGCATTTTTTTTTCCCTACTCCTTTACTTGAATTTTTAACACAGTCCTCCAAACCTCTTACTTTGGCAATTCTATTTGAGGTTAGCAAACAGGCTACTTTCACAAGGTCTTATACAACTATTCTAAGACAAACCTAAGTAGCAGAATGAGAACTGGAGGTTGTAAATTCTGGATTTGTTTAAAAAGGTGAATAAATGCAAACAGTGGTGGCACTAAAAGAAAGAAAGTTACCTGTGAAAAAAGTGCTGGCGTAAGAGAAGCTGTAGGGAGAGACGGGCTTAATATTCCCAGCGGGCTTGGGTCACTGCCTGTGATCACGAGGGTGGGTGCCAGCTCTAACCCTTTGGGTTTCTTGGATCTCGATGAGTGATTTGTTTTGTCCTTTTCTGGCAAAGCGGAATCCTGGTCTTTGGGCTCCAGGGACAAGTTCTCTGGAAGTTCCATTGGCTGAGAAGCCACTGAATCGATGTCTGTGTCGATGTCTGCGTTAGAGCTCAGGGGTGGTGAAGGTGTCCTAGGAGGCTCCTGCAAAGGGGGAGATGAGGACGGGATAGGAGGTGTGCTGGTAAAAGCTGGAGTTGCACTCGATGCCTCCAGGGAAGGCAGTTTTGGGGAAGCCAAAGTCTCTAATGCTTGGATAGTTTCTTCTGGAGATGGGGAAATACCTGGGCCTGTTGAAATGGTGGCAGCCACGGGTTCAGCTGGTGGCTTTTTGGAAGGTGTTGTTACGAATTTTATGACAGATGGTGTTGGCTCCTGAGGAGATTTTTTCTCTGCCAGTTTCTCAGCTGGATTCTCGATCTTTTTAGATTTGAAAAGCTTCACATTGGAGGAGTTCAAAGAGTTGAGAGTAAATGAAGTATACAAGCCAGAATGTATGTAGTCATTGCGGCTCGAGGTCTTGGCACCAGGCTGAAGTGGCTTCTCTTTCCCTCCATTCTCCACGTCCTTGGAACTGCAGTTGATCTCGCTGATGCCTGAAGCATCCCGGTCTCCCTCAATCCTGCCCACGGTCATTGGGTCCATTTTCAAAATCTCTGGGTAAGAGACAAACTTGTACACAAACTTCTGACCATTCACTTTTTTAATGATATTCTGTAGATAAATAAAATAAGCATTCTTATACTTTCTTATAAATGCTCCTCCCAGTGCTCATGAAAAAGCTGGCCTATAATGGTCTCTATTTGACAAGTAGTTTACTTAAGAGCTTCAAAATCCTATAAATTTATCTAGCCATACCAAACTTTGTTCCTACTACTATGGGATATAAGTTCAGAACAATTAACAATTAACTGTTTTATTAATAATAGCTGAGTTCATATGTCACACAGAAGTTGAAAGACTTTAATTGCTTAACACGCTCAACTAAATCACTGTCAGAAGTCAGAAATCACGGGAACTTCAGTCTCAACCCAAGAGGTGCGAGCCATGTGCATCCTGGGTGAGCAAGAAGAAATTCAGAAGGTCACTTCCGCTCGGGTTCCTGCTTCCTTCAGCAATCCCAGGGGTTTCTTACCTCATCTCTCCACACAGGAAGGATGACCCCACCAACCACTTAAAGGTGAAAGAAATTAAGATCTCAGTTCTCGACTCTAACCCTATCCATTGGAGTCACTAATTTTACCTCAGGGCCAAGAATGTATTCAAAACAATAAGGAATTTAAAAAATGCAATTTAACCAAGCAATCAAATTTATGTATTAACAGCTATCCTTTAAGGTATTAATTTGTTTTCAGGGTTAAACTAAAAAGCAAAAATTAACAGAAGCTAAAAAACAAGTATATATATATGATAATTTTAAAGTAAATTATGATATCCACAAGAATACTTATTTATCCTAAGAATCTCAAATTTAGCTTTCCTTATTCTAATCATGTATCACTTTTTCTTTAAAGACAGCTGCAATGAGGAATAAAATATGTGTAATGGCAGCAGGGGACTGAATAAGAGTCTGGAGAAATACAGCCGGAACATTTATAGTTTTCGTATTTCCAAACTGCTAAAGCTACAATTTGCATTAAAATAAGCCAGGACAGTGATCATTTTACAATGTATACAAACACTGATTCACTATATTTTATACCTGAAATGAATACGTTACATGTCAATTATAACTCAATTTAAAAAATTTTAAAAACAAATAAACAAACCAGAACATTAGTACCTACAATGCCAACAGAAAAGGAAGAGCAATTCTTGTTTTGAGGTGGATGTGTATTACCTTAACGTAATAGTATCTGAGGGCTCGGCTGAGTTTGTCATAATTCATATTGGGCTTGTTCTTGCGAATCCCCCAGAGACGAGCCACCTCTTCTGCCTGCAAAAGCTTGAACTCCCCATCCTTAGAGGTCCAGCAGATCATGTGCTTGTTCTGAGGCTCCTGTAGGAGCTGAAGCAGGAACTGCCACAGGGTGATTGCACTGTCCATAGCAATGAGCTGAAAGAGGCATACAGGTAAGATGTATGATAATATTAACAACCAACACTTACATAATACTGTATTCAGGCACTGTTTAAGTGCTCAAACTGTATTTACCTCATTGCATCCCCACAATTCAGTAAAGCAGGCACTACTGCAGCCTCATTTTACATATGAAAAAAACCAATTCATATAGGAGGCAAGTAATTAAGGTCACACAAGTAAATGGTGGAGCTGAAATTTAAATCCAGGCAATCTGGATCCAGAGTCCCAACCTGTAGGCATGCCACACTGCTTAGGAAAAGTCTTGCTGGGAGATAAAGCTAGTTCCATAAATTACAGGAGCAGACTGGTGATTGCCAATCACTAGAGTATCACACTGTTATTAAATTTTATCTTTAAAACTCATTGCTGCATTCTGGGGAGACCACCATTTCAGCATCTGTCTAAATCAACCCTGTTAGTTTATTTGCCAGACTGTGTATGTGCGCCTCAGGGGGGCCCAGAAGTGTAGGGAACATCTACTTTTGCTCCACTGGCATTTCTCCTCTAAATAGTTTCCATTATCGTAAATGTGCTTTACATATATATTGGCAGCACTGTTCAGCAAAAAATGTTCCCTGATTTAATTTATAACTTCAGTAACCATTCTTTCCATCTGCATAGATCCTCCTTTTATTTGACTAACAACCTTTACTTGATTATCAAGAGATGAACTGATAACTGTTTCAGTATCTCAAGTTTTAGGATCTCCCTTGTTTAAGCCAGATTTTTTAACTTGGCACTATATGCTTTGGGCCAGATTAATTTTCTGTTCCTAGAGGCTGTCCAATGCACCGTGGTTTGTTTGACAGCACCCCTCACCTCTATCCACTACATCCCAGTAGCACCTCCTGCCCAGTTATGACCATCAAAGATGTCTCCAGACAGTGCCCAATGTTCTGCTGGTGGACAAAATCACCCCAGTTAATAACCACTGGTTTAGGTAATGGAGCGGCAAGAAAATGCCCTCACAAAGTTACTTCCATCATAAAACTCAAAGCACCTTTGTTCATTAGAACAAGTTCTTTAAGGCAGAAACTCTGGCCAAATACATATAAACACATTCTAAAAAGCCTATAAATAAACTACACACACAAAAACAAAAAAACCCTTCCTTTCTTTATCTCGGAATGAGATCTCCTTGGATCAGAATAGGACTTGAAAACAAATCACTTTCATTAAAATACTACAAAAACAGGTAAACTGGATTACACCAAAACTGAAAACTTTTGTACTGTAAAAAATACCATTAAGTGAAAAGACAATCCTTAGAATGGGAGAAAGTATATTCAAATTACAAGTGACTTGTATCAAAAAATATAAAGAATTCTCACAATTAAAAAAAATAAATAAATCAGGCAAAAGATTTGAAAAGACATTTCTCCAGAGAGGATATACGAACAGCCAATAAGCACATGAAAAGATGCGCAACATCATTAGTTATTAGGGAAATCAAAATAAAAACCACATAAGATACCACTTCACATCTACAAGGATATAATCAAAAAGGTAGACAATAACAGTATTGGCTAGGATGTGGAAAAAGTGAAACCATCATACCTTAGTGGTGGGAAAGTAAAACGGTACAGTCGCTTTAGGAACAGTTTGACAGATCCTCAAAATGCTAAACACAGAGTTACCATATGACCCAGCAATCCCACCCATTAGGCAAATACCCAAGAGAAATGAAATATATGTCCACCCAGACACTTGTACAGGAATGTTCAGAGCAGCAATATTCATAAAATACCCAAGGTAGACACGACCATAATGTCTATCAACTGATGAATGGACAAGTAAAACGTGGTATAACCTGATAGTGGAGTATTACTCAGCCAAGAAAAAGAACAGAGCACTGATACATGGCACCACATGGATGAACCTTCAACACGTGATGCTAAGTGAAAGGCACCTGCCACAAAAGACCACATATTGTGTGGTTCCATTTACATGACATGTCCAGAATAAATCCATTAGACACAGAAAATAATTAGCAGTTGCTTGGGGCTGGGGGACGTGTCGGGAGAAGGATGGCAAGTGCTGCTCAGGTGAGGAAAACATTCTAACTTAGATTGTGACGCTGGTTACATACACAACTCTGAATATATCAAAACCACCGAGTTGGACACCATAGAAGGTGAATTTCATGGTATGTGAATTATATCTCAATAAAGATGTTAAAAACAAACATACAAATGTTAGAGAAGTTAGGCCTGAGAAGCTTAATTCTAACAGATACCTCACAGAGGATGGGATTTTTAAGGGTCAACTATGTCTGCTTCCAAAAAGCAGAGACAAGGAACTACAGTGGGAAACATCTGGGTTTCTATAACCTTTCTGAGACACTCAAAATGTCCTCCAATTATCCTCACAGTTGTCGTTTTGAAGCTGGTTATCTAGAGATACTGTCGTCCAAAAGTGGAGATGGGAAAATAATAAAGAACAGAGAAGGGAAGATGCCTCCCAGTTTCAGAGCTAATGGAGAAGCTGAGGCCATGAATCTGAGTCTTTCATCACAGTCATGTACTGTTTATTAGGGAAACCACTTCCCTAGGTGGATAAAAGCCTTCACTTCAGCAGCTGGTGGTAAACTACCACACACAGATACTAAGTGATAACAATCTACAAATACCAAGTGCTCCTTTTAATGCTAAGTGACCATGCCCACTAGAAATCAGTTTCCCACAGTCTCACCTAAACTGGGTTAAAATGGCAGGTTTATATTGTACCCATCAAGCATCGGGGCAGGGCTCCCTGTCATTTCTCTGAATTTACCAGAGGCCTTTATTCTGATAATGCCTGTTCATGGCAAGTTACTTTTTAACTATGTACGTTTTCCACTTAAACAATTATTTAAGTCTAAACCTGTTAAAACTACTCCTTTGTACATTTTAGCTTAACCAAGTAACTCTGTCTCCACATTCCCAAACATCATCTTCATTATCAAGAACGTTTGCAGGGGCAGGAGTGTGAGAGAGACAATGCTGATGACAGTGACGATAAGGGGAGTTGGGCCAAGACAGGCAGGGAACTGGAACTGGAATTTCAAGACTGCTACAAATGTGGTGCCTATGATTACATTTGTTTTGGGGAAAATTCCCAAAACCAAATCTTAGAGTCTTAATACCTGTCATGCTTGAGCCCCCATGGGTTTATAATGGCTAAGCTATACAAGAAAAAAAGACAGAAGCCACCATCAATATCTCCACAACGGGTACAAAGGCACCATCCTGAGCAAAGGGGAGACTGCCAACAATACGTGTTCCCAGGTCACCAGAGAGAGACATCATGAGACCACAAGTTAAGCCTACATCCAATAACCCCACCACCACCCTTTGCCCCATTCTTCAAAGCCTTAAAAGACAGAATCCTAAGCTCTTAAGTGCACCTCTTCTCAGAGGTTTCCCATGCTCCTCTTTGAGTGTGTACTTTTTGCATTAAATAAAAAATTCTCACGACTCAACTTACTGTGGTTTGACTCTGCGCTCTTCCAGTGGTAAGCGTCTTTATTACTTGGCTATTGCATTCTACTTTCTAGACTTTAGCACAAGTTTCCACTCTGCTCTATTTCAGCTTCGGTGCTCTCTGCTGCCTGCAAGGCAGCTACCATTCCCTGCTACTCTCGTTTTAATGAATCCCTTCCTTACCTACACTCATCCAGCCTGACCTGCTCCAGAATTCTTTCTGGTTCAAGGTCAAGAATCCTACCCAGTCCAGGATGAGGTTTACCTGGTGTGCAGGGAGACCTCCCCATAGGCAGCTGCCCAACAAAATGAAGTTTAAAAAAATAAATAAAAACTTTAAAAAATCCTTTTTCTTTTCACAAAAATCACCAGTGTTCTACAATCAGTTTTAGAAGAGTTTTTTTAGTTGAAGTATAATAAGGGAGGGAAATATTTAACCGAATCAATAAAGGAATCTGACTTTTTAAAGATTAAATGTTGAAAACAACTGATTTTACTTCAACACTTCAAAGAGATTAATCTCTGTGCTAAATTGAAAGAGGGAGCATGTTGAAACAACTTATTAGGGAAAGGAAGTCTCTGGTAAATGAAATCTTTTCCATCCTAAACATGTTTATAATACACATAGTCCAGTTGCTGTGGTAACCCACAGCCCAACTATTTTTCAGAAACAACAGCTAAGACCCAGATAATGTCTCCAAATTCAACATCCTGCTTGATACAAAACCAAATTATGAAATGCACCAAAACTAGTTCTGAATTAAAATCATCGTTGTGAAAAAGCAATGGGGCATATCTAACTTACAGTATCCTATGCCAAGAAAATATTAAAAGTATACTGTTAAATTACAATAAAAATTGAAGGCAGTATTTCCTAAGAATGTAATGGGTTTCACGTATGCGGTATGCGGTATTAACGTTTAAATAAAACCAGAGAGAGAGTTCCAAAGGGAGGGAAAACTCAATTATACTACGTTTTAATGAAAACACCACTGACGATCCTAAATATCGGAGCGCCAAGTTTTCCACGCAGTGGAGTGGCGGGTGGGAGACCGCAAAGGGGGAGGGAGGATCTGACCCACCGAGGAGATGGGCAAACCCTTCTAATGGGGAATAAAACTCCAGTGTCTTTAAATGACCGAAACTTCAAATAGCGATATCCCGGGAAAAAGCCAACTGTCTGTCTTTTAATTACTTCAGTCAACAACACCCCCCATTTCCTGCCAAGGCCGGTTAATATTCCGCCCCAAAAAGATGTTTCCAATTGACGTCCCTAAGAATAAAGACGCTACCAGCCTTGCGGCCGCTGTGCATTAACCGGAAAGTTAAGGGGGGAGGCGGGTTTGCCGCAGAAAAGTAGAAGATGAAACTTGACACCGGATGAATAGCGAGCTTGGGGAGAGAAAGAAACACGGACGACCGTGTGCCCCAGAGGACATCAAAGCCCGGGGAAGAGCCGCAACCTCACGCGGCTTTGGTAAGCACTGAATTACCGTACTTTCATTTTCCAACTTCCTGTCACTTCAGAAAGTCGTAATTGCTCTCCGCAACCCCGAGCAAAAAACAACAAAACAGCCGCAGCGCAGTAACACCAACGCCACCTTTTGTCCCAGGAACGTCACAGAAGCGAGGGGCGAAGGGGGGCGCCCCCGCGTCCACCTGCGCGCGCGGGTCCCCAGGGGCGCCCGCCGCCCCCGCCGCGCGCTCACTTCCTGTTGGGCCGCGAGTCCCGCGGCCCCAGTCCCCCCGCTGCGTGCGGGGCCGGGCGGCGGCCGCGAGACCCCAGAGAGGCGCGGGGCTGGCCGCTCACCGACGCCGCGCGCGGAGCTCCCTCTGGGTCTCCGCCGGGAACACGGTGCTCCTCTCCGCCGGCCGCCGCTGCCGCCTCACGCCGGGAACCCCAGGACGGCGCGCCCTCCGCTGCGACCCCCGCTGCGGAGCCGGAGAAGGCGGCGGCGGCCGAGCCGAGCCCGCCGAGTGCCCGCAGCCGCCCGCATCTCTGGCAGCCGCCGCACCAGCCGCGGCTCCTCGAGCTCCGCCCCCGCACTCGGCTACAGCGCGGGTCGACGGGCCGCTACCCGCCTGCGCGCGCTGGGCGTTCCTCGCCGCGGCCGGGCCTGCCAGGCGCTCCGCGGCTGCCGCCACTCTCGAACCCCCCAGCTGCGCCCGGGCCCCTCCCAGTCGCCGTACCCGCCGCGCGTCACTTCCGGGGGCGGGGAGGGAGGAGCCGCCGCGCCCGAGCGCGTGGCCTTGGTGCCGTGAGGCACCCCGAGCTCCCCAGATACCAGCCCGCATCGCGCTGCTCACGAGCTGCTCGCAGTTTGCTGAACGCCCGCCCGGGGTCCGCGGCACCACAGCGGCCACCCGTGTCGGGACCTCGGACTGCCTGGCGCCCCGCCTCACCTCCCTGTCCGAGCGAAGGGGTGGAGCTCGCCGAGCGGCCCTACAGCGCCCACGTTGGAGCGGACGGAGGAGGCGGTGCCGCCGCGGCGTTCTCATCCACGTGCCACATCCCCGGACAGGAACACTTGAGAACTGTTAAATCTGCGCCGTGTCTTCTCTAGTCTGGGGTCTGACGAGTGGAAACACTGGTCGGGGAGGAAGGCTCGTTTAACCGGGCGAGCTGGGCAACTCTCTCAACCACCCGAAACGGTTTCATCAGCTCTAAAATGGAGAGAAACCCGATCCTTTCGAGGGGTTGCAATGAGTAAAAGAAGGTGCATGTCGCCAAGTAGAGTTTGTAGCCCACACGTTCTCATTAAATATAACTAAGGAATCAGGTCACTTGGGACCAGAGGCTACTTGAATAATTTAACAGCAGAAGCGGTGCAAAGTTGTTATTAATAAGCTGGACTGTTGAACAAAACTTCCAGAAAAGAGATTTGAATTCTATTTAAAGGAAACCAGAGACAGGAGCCAGGGTCTGAGTTACTTGTTATGACCATTTACTAGCTGTATGACCTGCAGTGAATTGTTTAACCTCTCTGAACCCCAGCTCCTCCTAAAATGAAAATGACAATGGGCGAAGATTAAAAGGGATCCAGGCTGTAATGTGTAGAAACCCAGTAAACGGTGATGTAATTTATGTTTACCTCTCCCCACCCCCACCATTGAATTCAAGGTAAAATTAATTGAACTCACTAAGTGAAATGTGGTCCTATCATCCCTTTGTGGGCTTTGAGAATCATCACCCCTTTTGATTTCCAACCTCTCCCACTATAACATAGACTAATTATAACACTCAGATATCCTGTAAAAACAAGGCTAACAAAAGATGTTAATTTTTCTAAAATAAGTTCATCAAAGGATGTAAGCATCTTCATTAAGAAATACGTGTTTTAAAAGGAAACATGGAATAGCTGAAAAGCACTAACACTCTTGGCACTTGATGTAAATTGTTTCCTCGCAACAGCACCCATTTTAGAAACCAAGGGGAAAACGTAAGAATTAATTAAGTTAGGCTGTTTAAGATCTGTCCCTTGGAAACATTTGTTTTCTACAGAGCAGTTTCATTTTAAAGCCCCGTAACCAAGAACAGGTAAGGGCTGTGGAGCTCTTCCACGGGCTACCCTGCTCTGCCCAAACTAGCAGTGAACCAGCAGTATTGTCAACTGCAATATATTTTTGGAAAAGAGCCTATTTGGGGAGTTCTTAGTCATAGCAAGTCTGCTTCTAAATTGACTCTTCCTTCTTTTTTAACAACAGTACATGTTGACAGCAGAGAAACTAGAATAAAAGTAGATTGCAGATGAGTGAACTGAGAAAAAAAAAAGTTTACTAACATGGCTGGTTTTCCCACGCAGGATTCTGTGCATACAGAATCTCTCTCCGTGGTTCCTCGCGCAACAGATGGTTCTGGTTTTGCAAGCTCCATGGTGATTTTTGTTGGTCAACCAAAGAGACCTCGCTTTTTGTTACCGTGTTCGGTCATTTTCCCACCAGATAGATGGATTTCCAGTCTTACCCTTAGCTACTCAGGGCTATCTCAAACAACATTTGCAGGTTTTATTTAAGTATTTAAATACATGTTTTCTGCCGGACCTACCCTGGGAGGGCATGACGAGGCATGAGTTACTGCCGTTAGTGCCTGGGGCATAGCAACTATCTAATACATTTAATGACCTGTCACAAACACACCTCAAAAATAACTTCATGAGAGTTTCATCTTTGGAATCTATACCCAGTCTACTTCTTTGCTCCTCCGCTAATATTTTTAACCTAAAATAATTTTATTGGTCTCTGATACCTGTCCTTTTTCTGGGTTCATCAAAATTGATGTGAAATATGTGCTAGAGAAAGAGGAGGGAAAGATTGCCTTATTTCTAACTGCCCTTTGGAAAAGATGTAACTTAATTGACAAAAGCTCATGAAATCCACCCCTTGTGTAACTGTGTAAGATTTGGGGTGGTTTGGCCATCTCCTTGTATGGCGCATATTACTCTGGATGTTGACCCTGAAGTTTTGTTTTCTCTCTTGCATATTTTATAATTGGCTAGAAACTTTTTCTCTCTTCAATTCAAATGAATTCAGGAGCCACCAATGTATAATACTATGCCATTTACTACAGGAGGGACTCGAAGAGACTTTGTTCTTTTTTCAAGGCATTTTCAGTCTTGCGGGGGGGTGACACTGACACCCTGGGAGACCATCATTAATAGGCACAATTTCCGTCAGAGTTCTCTTGCATTATCTCCTTTGATCCTATTGACATAGACAAAGAATTCAGCTAAGGATCCAGAGATGATGAGGAAGGAAAAGGGAGGCTGACACATGAAGAAGTGCAGCTCTGCACTGGGTTTTGATGTGGCCAGGAGAGTTTGGGAGAGGGAGTGAATTACCACCTCCCACTGCCTTAAAACATTTCCTGAAAGGGGTGGAGTTTGAAAGACTTGGTGCTAATCCAAAAATGTGTAATGCCAGCTTTTTTCTGCCTTTATCCAGCTGCAAAAGAAAATGAGTTTTGCCATGCTAGAGACCTCAGCTTGTGAGTCGTATACCCTTCAGAAGGACGGGACCCAGGCCCCAGCTTCCCCACCTCACTCTCAGGGAGGACAACGTGAGGTCCAGCTAGGCTCACCCTGTCAAGTGGGAAAATCAGAGGATCTGCAGGGCTTTTTTCTCCCTTCTTGCTCTGGGCATCTTCCTGCTTCTCAGAAAACGCGGCTGTGATGAATGTAACTGATGGAATGCATCTAGAAACCAGACCCCGGTGGGAGAGCCCGAAAGTCGAGGGAGAAGAGGGGAAAGATCCAGAGACAAGGTTTCACGGAGCAAAGAGAGTTCAGGTTTGGTTTTGTCTGGAACTGTATCGCTCCCCACCCTGTGCACACCCTTCGTGCCTCTGCCTCCTCCCCACCCCATCCAGGCTTCCTCAGCCTTGTTTGCTTCCGGGGCCCTTTTACCTCTAGGCCTCACCCTGCCAGTGGCCCCCTTGAGAATGTATTAGCCATGATAGTGGTCTTTAGGCCTGAGAGGATTTCTTATCAAAAAAATATTTTTTAAGCATTAACCACTGCACTTAATAGTTGAGGAAATACAAAGATGACCAGTCTCTTCTCTAGAAGTTTCTAATAGACAAGGAGGTAAAAATCACTGTGATACAGGAAGGGTGTTAGTGAAATGCAGGTAAAAACTATGTGCCAGAGTTGGGAATAGGCGGGTCCTCTTGTTCTCACCAGAACTGACCTGAGGACCTGAGCCCTCAGCGTGTCTGGGATTTGGAGAAGGTTGGGAGGAATTCTGTAGAGAAAACACTGTGCTTGGCCTGCCTTCTCCCAGGCTCAGCCCCACCTGGCTGTCTCCTACCCCAGGTCTTAGCTCAGATGTCACCTGCTTCAGGGAGCACCCCACACACATACACACCCTAGACTGGGTTTGTGACGACCAGTTTCTCCTGTTGTGTTCAGGACTGATGTTGTCTGTGGCACTCACCACAGTGACCTGAAGTTTCTATTTGTCTCTTTGACCTTTTGGACTGTGGGTCCTTGGAGGAGGGCCTAGGTCTTGTTCAACTCAGCCCAGCAACCAATACAGGACTTACCCACAGGAGCTGCTCATTGGTCGCTTCCGGAAGGACGAGGGCATGTTGGTGAAGAGCGTGCATAGCAAAGCTCAGAGGCTCAGACAGGCCTGCCGCAGAAGCTCAGTGTGACGGGGGCTCAGCCACCCCCTCCACCTCCCGTGGGTCTGCGTCACCCACCGTTGCCTCTCTCAGGCCGTTAGCCTCTCAGCCTCACCTCCATCCTTCTGCTGGTGACCACTTTCAAGTCTCTCCATTCTAAGAAAACTTCCCCCTTCAACTATCAACCTGTCTTTTTCTCCTTCCTTCCCTCCAGCGTCAAACCTCAAAAACAATGGTTTCTATTTGCTGCCTACACTTTCTCATCTTCCCTCACTCTTCAACCTACTGAATATGTCTACCGTCCCCACCACCGACTCCTAGCAAAGGCTGTGGCCTTCCTAATGACATCCCCTTTTTAGGCATCTTCCCATTCACCATCTCCTGCTCTCCCTCAAGACACATTTCCAGGTGAATGTCCCCTGACTTCCAAAGCAGGCATAGATGTCCCTTTCTGGTACCTTCCCCAAAATGCAACCCTCTCTTGGCTTCCATGATTCTCCTTCTCTCTTTGGCCAGTTTTTGGTCTCTTTGGGAGTTCCTGGTCCACCTGCAGAATGGGTTCTTCTTTGTCTCAGGATTCTATCTTGGGGCTATTGTTCCTCAACACTCCCCATGAGGGACCTCCTTCTCGCCAAGGCTTCATTCACCATCCAAACACTGATGACCCTTAATCTTTATCTCTGAGCCTTACTTCTCCCCTGAGCTGTGGACCCATGTCTCTAATTTCTAACAGGATTTCTCAGCCTGGATGTCCTCATGACCCCACCACTCAGAATATACAACTTGAACTCATTACCTATACCTGCCACCCAATTGGAAGAATTACCCACAGACCTCACTCATCCCTAGCAATTCCTTCCTCCTCACCCTCCACACACAACTGTGATCTGTTGTATCTAGTCTGCGGAGTATCTCACACCTGTCCCCTCCTCATGTCTATCCCCAATGCCCTCACCATCTCTTGCTAGAACTATTTCAGTAGCCTTCTAATTTCTCCCCCACTATCCAGCCATCCCAGCCCATCCCCACATTACCACATGGAAACTTTCTCAAACACACATTTGATTATGTTGCTTGTCTATTTTAGAGCGTCCAGTGATTGATTTCTCTGCTGTTTCCAGGATAAAGTCCAAACTCTAACCTGACAGACCTGGGAAGGGTAAGGTTTAAAGGCCACATCACCCTCCAATATTCCCTATTTTGATGA